AAGTGGCATTGGTCATGAGACTTTAATAAAACGGAAAGCAGAGGAAAAATTAGAAAGCTACAGAAGAAAGATTCACATGAAAAACAAAGCTGAAGAAAACGCTGCAGAGCAGTTCCGGTAAAACTTTGTATTTGAGCTGCTTTTGGTTTCATCTTGTCTCAGTGTGTTTTTGTTTTTAATAGATTTCAGAGAGGAGGGGAGAGGGATAGAGGGATAGAAACATTAATGATGAGAGAATCATTGATCGGCTGCCTCCTGCATGCCACACACTGGAGTTAGAGCCCTCAATCTAGACAAGTATGACTGGGAATCGAACTGTGACCTCCTGGTTCATAGGTTGACCCTCAACCACTGAGCCCACTGACCAGGTAGTTTTTTAGTACTTGGGCATAGAAAATGGATAAAGCAAGTACAGACCTGTAATGTGCTATTTTTTTTCTTTAATTAGAATGCGACTTAAAAGTAAGCAAGATGAAATGAAGCTGGAAGGAGATCTTAGAAGAAGCCAGCGAGCTTGTCAACAATTGGATACTCAGAAGGCAAGCCTTTTACCTGCTTTCAGTTTGGTAGTGAAGTGTTTTGGCACCCAATGTGATTTGCCATGAATTTACGTTTAAAAACAACAAACCAACAAAACATTCCAATTCTGGTATACCTCGTCTTCTGCGGAGTAAAGCAGCAATTTTCAACCTTTATCATCTAATGGCACATCTAATAAACTAATTACTAAAAATCTGTGACACACCAAAAAATGTATTTTTTGCCCATCTGACAAAAAAATAGATATAATTTTTATTGATTTCTCTCTCTCAGAATCAGTTTTAAAAATATAGTTTTTAAAGTCTCAAAATGTAAAAATTTCTATTATCTTGAAATATACTCCTAGGAGCAACCTCATTTTTATATATTTCCCTAGCACTTTATTTTGAATGTATGTCTTGACTCTTAAGATCTTCTAGCTTTTATGTATTATTTTATATATTTTTCTTTATTGGTTAAGGCATTACATATGTGTCCTTATATGTATTATTTTATATCCATTAAGTTATTTATGTCCATAGCTTATTTTCCCTACTAGACTGACAGCAACTTGGAGACAATACAATATTCTAATTGGGCCGTAGCTAGGTAGCTCAGTTGGTTAGAGGTTTGTCTCATGCACAAAAGGTGGCAGGTTTGATTCCTGGTCAGGGTACATACCTAGGTTTCAGGTTCAATTCCCATTTGGGGTGCGTAGGCCCTGTACAGGAAGGCTACTGATTGATGTTTCTCTCTCACATTGATGTTTTCCCCTCTGTCTGTCTCTCCCACCATCTCCCTCTAAAATTCAATAAGCATGTCCTGGGATGAGGATTTAAAAATATATATATATATTTTAATTGGGTTTTGCATCCCCAGAGATTACAGTGCAGTGCTTTACTCTTGAAGCAGCACTCAGTAAATATTTAATCAAAAGGATGAATTCATGTTGACATGAACATACTGGTGATAGTCTCACGTTTAGCTATGTTTAATTGGGAACAATTCTACATTTTCAGAATATACAGGTTCCCAGGGAGGCCTGGTACTGGCTGAGGCTCGAAGAGGAGACTGAAGAAGAGGAAGAGGAAGAAAACGAACAAGATGAAGATGAATATGAGAGTGACGATTTAAGTGTATGTTTTGGGACCATTTCCTTGAGCAGGGTGTCTCAGCATTGGCACTATTGACATTTTGAGCCGGGTAGTGGTTTGTTCTGGGGTGCTGTTCTGTGTATTGTAAGATGCCTGTTATATTTCCCCCTTGTGACAACCAAAAATATCTCCAGACATTGTGAAATGTCCTCTGACGGGAAATCACCCCTAGTTGAGAACAACTGCCTTATAGGTTTGTTAACCCCAGATCAAAACTTTATAACGTTTCCCTTTAGCTTCAGTTTACCCTCTCATCTCTGCTCTAGTGTGGTTGATGGATTAGCTGCAAATGTAAATTATTTTCATTTTTACCTTGTTTCCTGTTAAACTTGTGGAATTGATTCTCATAAGTACCCTTCTTCCCCACCCACAAACAAGACAAAGCAAAACTCAATTCAAAGGAAGAGGACATTATGCAAGAAATCACTACACATTTCTATGGTTACATGTACATAAGACTTTGGTAGGAAACATTCAAACTTTGAAAAACCTATGTTCCACTTAAATGGGAGACCACTGATGAGAACTGTAATGGCACAGGGAGGCAGTGTTCTCCCTCATCCCACTGGGGAAGGTAGATTCTTTGAAAGTAGAAGTGGTCTTTAAACAATCCTCATCCTAATAGAGCCAGCCAAATTCTATTTCTGAATGTTAACATGTAGTCTCTATTCTGTCTGGAAAACTTGTGAAAATAATCAGGGTAGCTGGTAAAGTGGGACACATGTTAAAACATTCTGCCTTTCACACCTTTCCTGACTGGTAGAGAGTGTAGCGGAAGATTTATGGCCTTGGGCTAGTTCAGCATGATCCCAGAGACCAGAAAACCAAGATCCTGGTCAATGTGAACCATTCATGTGCTTGTGTCCTATAATCTAGGTACTGGACAAATTACAAATATTGACGAGTTATTTAAGAGAAGAACATCTGTATTGTATTTGGTGTGGAACAGCCTATGAAGGTAAGAAAATGCTTTAAATTTTTAAAAAATATTGAATACAAATGCTCTTTGATTTTCAACTTTATTTTTTTTATGAACGTCATATTTCCCATAGATAATGGAAATTTCTTATTCTATCCAAAAGGTAATGTAGAATCAATGTCTTAACTAAGTAGTAAGCATAGAAATAATTGAGGCCTTGTTAAAGGTGTTTTTAACTGTTTGGAAACAAAGTGCAGAAGGGAATTTTTCAGTCTTTTATTTACTTAAGGATAATTTTTTATGCTTTATTTTTAATCTTTCTTAAGTTATAGATACTTCAAAGATATATCAGCTTTTTAGAACTCATTATTATATAAATAGAATATTTGTCCCTGAACCATAAAAATCATGTTGAAATCCACTTTTTTTTTTTTAATTTTAGAAAGAAATGGTTTAAAACTTGTCATATGTATTACAGAGCCAAGTGCTTTCCCTTCTAATACAGTTGCCCATGCTGGCTTTATTAACTTGAATTTAAGGGCTTTGAACTTGAGAGAAGAATTTTTGGTTATTGTTGTTTTTATGAGTAACTTTTCCTGGTTTAACAATCAGGAGCAAACAAAGCTACAAAATGCATGTTATGTTGAAAAAATTTTCTAGAATAGTTTACAAGTCTTCTATTTTCTTCATGTAAATTACAGATAAAGATGACCTGTCTTCAAATTGCCCAGGACCAACTTCTGCAGATCATGACTAAGATTCTCAATAAAGTAGAAACTTGGAAAATGCTGTTGTTTCCTAGACAGTTAAGCCGTTAGAGTTCCCAATAATTTGTATGTTTTTTTTTCTACTTTAGAGGTACTTTGTACTTTAAAATATAAAAGTTCATGGACTCCAAAATAAAATAATGGAATGCTTTGTAGAACACCAGATGGGCCATTACAAGTTATGGCTCTATTGTGATGCTTATGGAATTTAAGGACACCAACAGGTAACTCTCTTATTTCCCTCTTCACTTCGGAACAAATTCAGAAATAAGATGTAGAAGTCAGATATCACAATATCAGCTTTATTGTCCATGAAGCTGAAACAGAGAGCAAGGCTGACTTGTCTCCAGTCAGGCTCCCTAATAAATCTGCCTGATTGGAGAGAACGGCAGGCCTCTCTCTGCCTTGCGGGGACACAGCCCAACTTTGCATTTTGAGACCAGTTAGCTTTTTAGGTGAGAGGATCCACCAGACACTGAGCCTCACATGCTAAGTTCCGTCTCCCAAAATCACTCATCAGATAAGACATCGCTGCCCTGGCCAGTTTGGCTCAATGAACAGAGAGTCAGCATGCCCACTGAAGCGTCCTGGATTCAAATCCCGTCAAGGGTTCTCTCTCACATTGATGTTTCCTCCTTTCCACTCTCTCTAAAAATCAATGGAAAAATATCCTCAGGTGAGGATTAACAAACAAAAAGACACCCCTCTATTGAGAGGGAATGAATGAGGGTTCACAGAGCTTGTTCCCACACTTCTCAGAGCTCACTGCCTTAAAACAAACCATTCCATTGCTGGGAAGGTCTAAGCAATTTCAAAGTTATTTTTCTGTCTTAAGCTGAAATCTGCTTCCCTATAATTTAACTGAATACAGCTGAAGACCTACTGTGGCACACCTCTGCAGAGCTCCATCCAAGGTTGGGCATGAAAACCGTGAACTTTTTTTTAAAGTGATTTTGATCAGCTCATCTAGGATAATTCCTTAAAGTCCTAAGAATGAGTCTCATAAGCCCCTGTGGGTGAAAACTAATGCTCTAGGTTAAATATAGGGCACTGCTGCTCTTGGGATAGCATTGTGACCGCCCCTGTACAGCTTTACCTCTCACCTTTCAGTAGTGAAGAGCAAGAGGTCAACCGCTTCTCCCTTTTGTTAGAAACAGCATTGTGACCACCCCTGTACAGCTTTACCTCTCATCTTTCAGTAGTGAAGAGCAAGAGGTCTTTAGCCTCCGACCTAACGTGACCTAGTTCACTGGTCCTCAAGTTGAACATGGGGAGCTTTAAAAAAGAATATGAGGGTCCCACCCCCAGAGATTCTGATGTCATTGGTCACTGGGGCCTTGGCAGCACTGCCCTTGACTCTAAGATGCAGCAGAGCTTGAGAACCACTAACCTGGTTAACTTCTGGGCCTCAGTTCTTCATACAGAGCATGAATCATTTTCATGAATATAAGTACATATATAAAATATGTGGGACATCTGTAATACTGTCAACAATAAAAATAAAATACTCCCACAGCAAACTCCCTCCCGCAGCATACTCCCTCCCGCTGCATATTCCCTAAAATAAATAAATAAATAAATACATAATAAAGTTAAAAATAAATTGTCGTTGCCCTAACTGGTTTGGCTCAGTGGATAGAGCGCTGGCCTGCGGACTGTAGGGTCCCAGGTTTGATTCCAGTCAAGGGCATGTGCCTTGGTTGCAGGCACATCCCCAGTAGGGGGTGTGCAGGAGGCAGCTGATCAATGGTTCTCTCTCATCGATGTTTCTAACTCTCTATCCCTCTCCTTCCTCTCTGTAAAAAATCAATAAAATATATTTAAAAATATATATTATCCTTTATATAGTTAAATAATGCTGTTGAATATTTAGTTGTTTCATTTAAAAATAATAAAACTATGTTAATAACTAAAAGGAGTACATCTTTCCCTCAGATTTACAGTCAAATCCTTTCCTGTCATTTCAGCCAACATGCCTGTATTCCTCCAGTCAGTCCCAAAGCCATGTGGAATGTGTCACATGGGAATCAGGAACTGGCTTCCTTGTCTCCTCTTAGTGACTATGGGGACAGCCCACCACCTGCCCAGTGGCCCAGAATATTCTGAGTATGTTCATGTACAATTCTGCTGAGAATGGGAATAACCTTGGTGGACCCCATGACTCCACCAGACGGTGATCTGCATTTCCAAGCCCAGGGTCTACCTTAGCAGAGTGGGAGACAGACATCCCACCATTCTTATCCTTCAGTGGTTCCAAATGAAGGCTTTCAATGTGAGTAAAAGTGCTTTATTCATATAGGCCTTTTATGAGTTCATAACTAGACAATAATGAAGACCAAGGGAAGCAAAACATTGAATATAATTTTTCAATTACCTTTAGAACATCTATGTGAAATTTGAAACATCAAGTAAATTTTAATGTTATATACTTTTGTTTATATTGTGCTGTTTATTTTCAAAGTCCTATCTATAATTTCTAAAATGTTTCATTTTCCTAATTTCAAATCCTACATACTGGAGCTTCTGAAATTCAAAATAAGTAGATTTAAGTGTAGCAAACTGATTTGCCTTACAGACCTTTAAGTGTTATTTGCCAAACATTTCATAGTTAACATTTTAAAGTGGACATTTAGTATTAGATATATTTTGTAAGTTTGATCATGTAAAATTAACACTCTCCACCCATTCAAAAGCACATAATAGAGTTCCTGCTGTATGCAGGGCAGTGTACTCGATGTCTTGGGCTATTCAAAAAGCAGAGTGCCTGTGTCTGTCCCTGCTTTCCAGCAATTCACAGTATGAGCTGAACAGTCATGTGGGAATAGCTGAGCTTGAGGCCGAGTGTAAAGCACAATACAGAGGTACTACACAATGGGAGTGCTAGGGAGAAGTTTCATTCTAAGAGGGAGATGGTGGAACACTATGGAAGTAGCACTGAACTTGGGTTCTGAACATAACTTTGATATTCAAAGTAATGAGGAAGGAGTTACAATGTGACCCAGCAGTTTCACTCTTAGGTACATGCCCAAGAGAACATGTCCACATAAAACCTGAACATGAACATTTGTAGTAGCCTTCTTCATAATAGCAGGAAAATGGAAACAACCCAAATGTCCATCAATTAACGAGTAAATAAAATGAAGTATCCAGCCCTGACCGGTTTGGCTCAGTGGATAGAGCGATGGCCTGCGGACTGAAGGGTCCTAGGTTCGATTCCGGTCAAGGGCATGTACCTTTGTTTGCAGGCACATCCCCAGTAGGGAGTGTGCAGGAGGCAGCTGATCGATGTTTCTCTCTCATTGATGTTTCTGACTCTCTATCCCTCTCCCTTCCTCTCTGTAAAAAATCAATAAAATATATATTTTTAAAAATATGAAGTGCCCAATAAAAAGAACTGATCCATGCTACAACCTGAATAAACCTTAAAAAATTACACGAAGTGAATAAGACCACGTATTGTATGATTCCACTTAAATGAAATGTCCAGAATGGGGAAATCCATAGAGATAGAAGGTAGATCAGTGATTGCCTAGAATGGGGAGGAATGAGGAATGACTGCTAATGGGCATGGGATTTCTTTGGAGGCTGACATAATAATGGTAAATATTTACCCCATCTTTCCCATTCAGCCTTAGAGAAAGTTCTTTATAGAAGAATCATAGATGATAAATGCAAAAGTTTGATAGAATCCAAAAATCACTATTTTGTAACCCCTAATGAATTAATGGATCCAGGCGACATTCATCAATGGTTGCTAAAACCATTAGGTGAAAGATTGAAAGGAAGCCTTGTGATGGATGACAGCACCACAAGCCACCAATCAATCTGAAAATCACCCAAAGTGGAACAACCAGACATTGTAACCAGATAGGATACAATGTCACCTCTGCAGTATTCTTGGGGGGAAAGTATCGAATCAGAATCAAATCAAGTTTCTAGAACTAACTAGACACCAGGGAGATACCATCAGCCAAATCCGGAATGGAGTAAATTCTATGATAAATATTCCAGTTCCTTCCTCAAATACATGGCAAGAAGAAAGAAACTGAAAACAAGGGTAAATGTTAGAGAGTAAAAGACACACCAACTAAATGCAATGTTGAATTCTGATCGAAACAACCTGTAGAAAAGATACTTTTGAGACAGGAAAACTGAATGCATGCTGAATTATGATATAGTAGTAATTAAAAACATCTTATTAATTTTGTTGAGTGACAATGATATTGCGGTTTTGTTGACATTAAAAGATCTTATCTCTTAGAGATAAAGATCATTTTAAGTATTTTCAAGTTAGATGACATAATGCCTTAAATTTGTTTTAAAATACTCCAGCAAAAGAAATTTCTTAAAAAGGTGAATGCATTATCTATATATATATATATATATATGTCATATATAGGAATATCTTTCACAATTTCCACGTGTGCTTTATAATTTGCAAATAAGGTCTCTGGACTTTACCCCTCTCCTCCTCTAATTAAGAGGATACTTTATTCATTATAATTTTGAGGCTTAGAAAATAAAGACTCACAAATAAAAACTTCTAAGAAATAACATAAATATTAAAATGAAAAGGTAAAAATAAGGCTGCCTTCTTTTGAGTACAGCCTTACTCATTATATCCAGATAATACTGGTTTTTAAAAACTATTTCTTCCCTCCCAGAAATATTTCAAACCTACAGAAAAGTTCAAAGAATATGACAAAAAACACTTGTATACCCTCAACCTAGATTTATCAAAAGGTCAACTGTTAACATTTACTTTCTTTCTCTATCATCATATACACATTGATTTTTGCTAAACATTTGAAAGTTGCAATCTTCATGCCACTTCACCCCAAGATACTCCTTCATGTACTAAGAATAAGACATTTTCCTGCATGACCACAATATTGTTATCACACCTAAGAAAATGAATACTGCCCCGCTGGAGTGGCTCAATGGTTGAGCATCAACCCATGAACCAGGAGGTCACGGTTGCATTCCTGGTCAGGGCACATGCCCAGGTTGCAGGCTCGA